CCTTCAGGAACGAGCATGAAGCTCAGATGAGAGCTTTGAGGTGTCAGCATGAAGATGAGTGTATAAAGCTTCAGGAGGAATTGGATCTTCAGAAGTCCAAAGTAAGCATCTTTCCTGTAACACAATACACAACTGTATGGTCTTTGCAGTCTATTCATTTGGATTATCATCACAGGAGGACCGGCAGAGAGCTTTATTGCAATTGCAGTGGAAAGTGATGGGCGATAAAGTACAAGAGGATCAAGAAGTGAATTCAAAAAAGGTTTGGATTTTGTGGATTTCTCTTTTCTCTGTCTCAAGTACTTGTGGATGTGTGACTTTGGATGCATCGTTATTATGATTTTTTTTTTCCTTATGAACTTACCACACATCTTTATTCTTTCTCTTCCTTTTGGACTGAAAAATTAATCTTTTCTGATGCGGAAATGTGCAATCAGGTACCTTTTTCCCCTGTATTTTCTTCTTGTTTGTGTTCACAGCATCCCCATAGTTTATGCATATACTACTTTCATATATACGCTGATTTTGATAATATGGTTTCAGGATTACTCCATTTCCTCACTTCAAATCCTAAATTCTACTGGTTCAAAAAGAAGTCAACGTGCTCCTGTAAGGCCAGCAGATGAAGAAAAGGTGAAAACTACGGATCAATTAGCATATTTCAGCCTTGCCTCTTATCTGGTTACATCATTATATTTTCTTCTCAGGATTCACCCTTCCTGAGAGCAACGCAAACACCAGTATCAAAATTGTTGAAGAAAGTAGAGAAAGCAAGCACGGGAAGTGTGTTGAGTATTCCTAAGCATCATAAGAAGGCAAGTAACTCTTAATTGAGCTTTTTTGCTGCAAATATACCCTTGAATATGGCTTCAAACATTTCAAAGAAAAAAGATCGTTCAATAATTTTATTAAAGCTGCAAATAGTATCTGATTGATCTCATGCATGATCCTCCTCAAAGACTTACCTCATAGCACTGCAGGTTACTCATCATGAATATCAAGTTGAAACTGCTAATGGAAGGACAATTACAAAACGAAGGAGAACAAAGAGTACAGTCATGTTTGAGGTTTATTCCCGGTTACCCTGATAATCCTACATACATAAACTGAAGCTACATATTCTATGTTGGATATGTGTTACCTGATGCTGAATCTTCTGTTCCATGACCAGGATCCAAGAAAACAGAAAAAGATGAATACACCAAAAGCAAACACCCCCAGGAGTGTTGCCAAGGTGCTTGAAAGTTTAAACCAATTCTTTTATTTCTTCTGTTCTTTTATTTTTTTTAATCAGTCTCTTTAAAGTACTCTAACAACCTTTTTAAAGAACCGAAGGCTTGAAGGACTCCCTAATGCAATTTAATAGACCGAGGATGCTGTAGTTTTGTAGAACCATCAGATAACCAAAAAAGTATATTGTCCTGAACCTAGATATTTAACGTTTTCATGCTTTCTCTACTTTGAGTCTAAAAGTTTTCGCGATTTATGGTACTAGCTAGTTCACCAAAATTCCTTTCGCTCCATTTTTTGTCTCTCTTCTTGTTTTGTGGTGTATTATGGAGCATGCTTAGTATAGGAGCATGAATAGTTGTTTTATTTATTGACTGGGAAGGTAGTACTTGTAATGCTTCACCGTAGAACATTCATGTCCTGAATACAGGGAAGTCGATATGCTGCTTCTGCCAGTTCTGATTATCACCACTTTGGATGCTAGTTGACCCAAACCCATGTTGAAAAACAATCGTTTGGTTAGACACTTTTTTAAAGCTAAGATATACATAGAATTGACCTATGATTTCAGGTTTGGCGCATAAAAGTTGTATTACCACACGCGTAATGTTTTGTAGCTTATGCAGGGTATGGAACAGGCTCGTCCACGTGCTTCAAACATCGGAGATTTGTTTAGAGAAGGGTCTCTGGATCCATATGCAGATGATCCATATGCATTTGATTAGAGGTATTTATTCTCGCGAGCATAACGCTTTATCTGCATTTCTCGTTAATAGCAACCCTCAACATCTATTTCTGTCACTATTTATAGCATTATGATTTCTCCAATATCAAAACTTGAGAGCGGCCTTGTTTTCTTTCAGGAGAGTTCTGTGGTTCTTCTACTCAATTGCATCGCTGTGGCACACGGGCATTCATCTGATCAGCACAAGGGATTTTTGGAGGGAAATGTTAATACGTACATGAGATTAGATTTTACTACTTTCTACTGAATTGTATCGTTTTGCTTTCTCACTTGAATAGCTTTTTCAATTCCTAACTAGTTTGTACATAAATGAAAATTGGCAAAGCGTCAAGGGTCGATGACCTGTAACTGTTGTCTGTGGACTACGCATTCGTGCTTGTTTTCCTTGCCTTTTGACAATTTCTACATGTACAAATCTCTCTTTTTACACGTCTTCGAATTGTTTTACAAAATAATCCATCTTCTTCCAGGTTTATTGGTTGTAAACAAAATGTAGAATTTAGTCCCCTCTAATTATTTTTGTGTTAGGCGGGTTTTATTTTATTTTTTTTAACCTACTAATTGTATGTCGTCCCACATCGCTTGTGCATGGTCTTTTTTTGACGTTTATAAGTGAAAAAATGGGTGCCCCCTGGATACCACACCACAAGATGAAGTGAGCGGGCCGTGATCCTACATAACGTAGGATTCGGCCCAGGAAAGTCCCCGGGCCCAATACCGCAGAGATGCGGCCCTGGAAACAGGTGTACTCCGATGGCTTAAGGAGTCCGGTCCACTTTCACGGTGGACAGGCTGAGACGTGTTTGGAGCACATGGACTCCTAGCCCGGAGGATCTTGGCCGACTTAACAGTTATTCACTTGGTCCGTAGGACTAACTGAACGGGGCTTACATTCTTGTGGTACCCTTTTTATTTATTATTAATTATTTTTAATAAAAAATAATGCGCGCTAATGAAAATATAACAATTTTTTTAAAATAACATAATTGCATAATAATTATCATAATGACATTAATTTGCAAGGCATGTGCATTGATATCCATTAAGATTTTATTAGAATTTTTATTTAGTCAAAATGTAATTCAATATTTTAGAATGATGATTCCATAATAATTACACAATAAAAAAAGTAAAAAGAAAATAGCAGGCAATTTTGCTTCTTCAATAGTTAGTATATAGAGATTTTTTTAATTGTTTATATATGAACCAGTTTTTAATCACTAAATATAAAAACACTATTATATTTTTTTTTTCACTCATATGAAAACAATTCTCCATAACTATTATATATATATATATATATATTATTTTTGAACTTTTGAGATTCAAAAGGGAAAAAAAAAATTGTTTTCTTTAAATTTCTCTTCTTTCTATCTCCTAGTCCTCTCTCTTCACTTTTTCTTCTAATATTTTGTCTCTTATTTTTCTCCCAAACTCTCATAAACTTTTCTTTACCCCTCGTTCTTAACTTTCTTTCTTTTCTTTTCTCTATTGCATCTCCGTATTTTCTATTGTAAATTTCTTTATCTTCCCTTCACTGCCTTCTGTCTCTCTTAATTTTTTTTAATCACATATTATTCTTTCTCAAATTTTTTCTCTTTCTCCTTGAGTTAAAAGTTTAATATATTTTTGTAAATTTATCATATGTATCTCATGAGATGAAATGTGTTTGTTTGTTTTTTTTTTTTTTTTTCAATGGATGTTGTAGTTGGACGGTTATTGTTGTCACAACGCAGTGAATTTGTAGCTAATTGCTTCATAAGAAACTTAAAGAAAAAAAAAATTCTTTTGTTCATGTGAAAAATTAAAATGTTATTAATCAATTAAAAAAATGCAAAACAAAACTTATTATTTGAGTTAAATAGAAATGTAGATATATTAAAAACAACCGAAAAATGAAAATGAGATGTTTCTAGCGACATTAGATTTTAATGACAAAAAAAATCTAAACTCAAAAAAATAGTAATAAGAAGAATTAAATTCAGAAAATAGAAAAGAAAAACACTAATTCCTCTCTCGGTTTATCCATGTATTGATTTCTAGTAAAACATAGAATCCAATTACCACACTTCAAAACTTACAGTGATAACATATTATTACACCTAGTAACGAAATTCCTATTTTAACGTAAAACAAAATTGATCTAAAAAGTCATTCGAAACAAAAGCACAAGAATATAAAAAAAATAATATTACATATTTTTTGCTAAGAGAAAGTAAAACTTTAACAATAAAAAATAATATATTTTTTTATAATGAATTTGTAAGGGGATACGGCAAAGCAAGACGATGATGTTTCTACAATAAGCGTTGGAATGATTGGTTTTGGCTTAGGCTCAATTTTCAACAATTTCTTATACTAAAAGTTTGACATATGTCAGAGTACTGTCCGATGTTATTAATATTTGTGCCCAAATTAAGGACACCAACGAAAAGAATAAAGCTGAGAAAATGACTAAGCCAAGGGTCAAAAAGGCCAAAAAAAAAAAAAAAGAGTTAACAATCAAGACTTTTTATTTTACCAATTGAAGTTTTAAATTTTAAGTTTTTACAGAAAAAAATTCTCAAAAAATATCACATTTAATTTTTTTTATTACAGTAAAAAATATTTAAAAATATCACATCTCAACTCGAATTGAAAACTCAAATCCGTAAAGTGAACGAGGACTCGATCATTTCACCGATTTGAGTTTAGAATTTAAATTTTATTACAGTAAAAAACTCTCATAAATAATCACATTTAACTTTTTTATTACAATAAAAAACTCACATAAAATCACATCTCAATTTAAATTAAAAATTTGAATCAATCAACTAAACGAGCCCTGAAACTCTTACTATATAGAATAGATAATTTTATTTTAATATATTTTCAACATGGTTAGTATTGCGCACTATATCATTGGCCTAGTTCACTCAAACAAGTCTAGTGCGAGATATAAATATATATATATATATATATATATTTTTATTTTTATTTTTATTTATATAAATATATTTATAGCCTTCTTCTTGTTGTTGTGTGTATATATATTTGTTTCCTCGTAACAAAATATTATTCGTTAGTGATGTAATGACCATAGATTTGGCAACATAGCAAAACTACCACAACAGAGTGTAAGACAAACTTGTTGAAAATTCATCATATCCAATAACTGTTTATCACCCGCTGATATGGTGAAATGAGAATGCCAATATGTCGAATGCTATTGTAGAAGTACTGGTGACGGATCATAACATTTCACAGTTCCAACTAAAGCAAGGGCTTCTCTAAGCGCTTGAAGAAGATGCTCCGGGTGCTCCTCGATGCGAACAGCGCCTTGCTGAGACTGCATGGTACTCAAGACTCTCCCAACAATCTGAACAAAGTTATGGATGTTTGGTTCATGGATTCAGAATCATTCTCGATTTACGTGTATTTTTTATGAGAAAAAATATTGTAACGAACAACGAACTGGGATTCAAATCATTGCACGAATACAACAACCAAACGCACTGTAAAAATTGTAACCTTGATACCAAGCAAGGAATTCTCTTTTTATGTGGCAACAAAGAGGCAGACCAACCTTTCTTGCATAGCCACCATAAGCAACACCCGCGATTGAAGCATTCATAGGACTCGGTGAACCAACCTTTAGCTTTTCGTCCCTCGAGTTCTCTTGCGGAATGGAAAAGAGAATATAAGAACAAACAGAAACTGGAAATGTACTAGAACATAGGCAGAAATGAAGTGAATGAAAGGGGCAATCATACCAGAAGAGGATGACGTTTGGAAAAGCCCAACTTTTCTCAACCCATCAACTGTGTGAGCATTAGTACCACCCGCCAATTGAAGAAAGCCTGAAATGTCAAGAAATGATTTTGACAAAGCCTTGTCTGAAGAGAAAATTATAGCATTCTAAGAAAAGATAAGCACATCCACACAAAACCATTCGGTCTTTCTCGAGTAGCAGCCAAGCGACGAGCAAAAGAAATGGATGCCTTAGTAGCACCCCGGCCGATATCTCCACTCATTGGGCGGCCATCCAACTGAAGTTCAAAATACCATGGCTTATTTCGGGATTGATGTGATTTTAAAAGAAGCTCTACTTTTACTTATAGCAAAAGGAGACTCTAAATTTCACTGGTGTCTGTAACTTTAATGAACTTTTAGCAAAACCACTACTTGCATTGGGTTATGTGCAAATGGCCGTATGTTACAAAAGGATGGATTTCTGATAAACTAATTTGAAATCATTCAAAAGCAATATTACTAGGTTTCAGACAACTGAAGGCTCACCTGCCAAAGATTTAAGCAATGTAGATGAGGTTCCATAATCGAATACAGAGAATTCATAGAAGTAATTGTTGTCTCCCCAATGTCAGGTAAACTAACCTGGACAGAACAAAAAGGTCATCTTAGAACTCCCCAATAATTCCACTATATACATCTAATTTAATAACTACTAAAACTATTTTATGATCTTTAACATTAAGTACTTAATCAAAGAGGATATAGTAGCAACACTTACCGCCACTAGTCGGAGATGTCTAATTGAATCTTGCAAACCGTCCCAAAGTTCTTTAAATGGAGAAGTCTGCCTAAATAGATTACCAATTAGTTCAGAGGTAAGTACTGATCTTGCTTCAATAGTGGCATGACATTTCATCAACAAACAAGCTTCTATGAGTATCTCAAGAAACTGTACCTTGCACTGGTATGTATCTCTAAAGCATCAACATCACCTCTTTTAATAAGCTCAGCCGTGGAATTAATATCTCTTATGTATGTGACCACATCTAAATCACCAATTTGCAAAATTTTTGTTAAAGTTGAACATGAGCCAAAATAATCATAAGAAGTGAGGATAGAATGTAAAATTTGTTTCGGTTTCGAAAATGATGAAGAATTTCTGTGAACTAGAGAAAAGAAGCAAGCAAAAAGGGAACACAAGCAGCATAACATGAACAGTAATTACTTATTTTGTCATATGGGCAAATAGGAAAGCAACGGCCACATCCATAACAGCGCTCAGTTAGAACTCCACCCTGCATATTTAATCATACTTCTTTTCAAAGTATTTAATGATAAAGATTTTAAACTTCACTGATGATGAAAAACCATATCTTTGTATATATGTAAAACATAAATGATTCGAACAAAAAAAATGAAAAAAAAAAAAAAACCTTGAATCCACCATTTGTATTGGCGGCATAGGATAGTTGTGATGTTGAATTTCTATCCTCCAAAGATATTGCATTAGCTGGACAAACCATTTGACAAGGCCTTGAGCAGTCAAGAGGACAATCCTCAGGATCAAATTCTGTTAAGAAAGCAGATCATAAACTCAGAACTCATTTTTTGTTCAATCTTAGCCTAAGTTGGTTTTGGAAGAAAAAACAAGCTTGTTCTAAAGCTTATAACAAAATCCCATGTCATGAATTAATTCTAAATTAAAGAGAAGATGTAGTTATGTACTAAACAAAAGCATCAAGTATTCAAATTTATTACATTCTAGTATATAACTATATATATAAACACATCTATTCAGATGTAATGGTACCGAGACATACCAGCCTTGCGAAAATGAAGATCTTCATCATCATTAACACTGATCATGACCCAAGGCCTTAGAAGATCAAAAATCTCCGTGGCTGCTTCAATTCCCTCGTTCACCGCACTCACAACTGATGCATCAGCAGCACAGTCTATGCAATCCACTGTTTCCAAGTCTCTCACTTACTCTATCTTAAACCCAAAACAAAACCAAAAAAAAAAAAAACTTGTTTTTCTCTCACCTCCAGCAAGAGTGTAAACAAGAGAGAGATTTCTGATATCAACCACATCCTAGAAAACAATAAGAGAAATAGAATTAATTACATATATGTCTGTTATTATGCAGTAGATGAACAATAAAATGTCTACGAATTGTGCTAATTGCAGAAAAGTTCATACTTTATAATCAGTTATACAAATTCATAACTGCACATATGAAAAGTTGCATTTTTCCATTGAAAATATCATCAAATTAGATAACTGAGTCTAAAAGTGGTCACTTTGTGATTATCTTTTAATGTAAAAATGGGATTTTGACACGATTTTTCATTTTTTTTTTACCTCGAAGCTTGCACCACAAATGAGCTTGACCCAGTTGCCCTTTTGGAGAGATTCCACCGGAGAAGACTTAACTGAAGGAATCCCAACAGCTCTTACGAGGTTTCTGACGTTTTCAAGTGCTGTAGTACTGTTGCTCTTTACAGTCACTCTCACTTAAAACCAGCACAAAGAGAAATATCAGTAGATAACAAAGGGAGAAAAAGAAGAAGATATAATAGGAAAATGGTTGAATTATATAATAAAAGACCACCTTGATTTTGGGCAGAAACTGCTGTGTAATTACAAGAAATGCTTAACGCCATAGCAATGGACATGGCACACAGACAGAGATGGTATTCTATTTCTTAGCCGATACATTAACCAGTTAACTACAACGGACATTGGCGGTTTGGTAACGAGAAGAAGAATCTGTGTCTGTCACAAACCAGATAAACCACTCAACACACATATGGGCTTTCTAGTGGTAGTGGGCTTATCATCTGGCCCAAGTCTTCATCAGGCCCAATAGCTCTCATGTTTTTTAGAAAAATAGTAGAAAATAGGCCAATATGAAAAGTTTAAGAAAGTATATAGACCAATTTTTAGTTATAGAAATTAATAGGCCATAACTTATCAAGTTATAGTTCATAATCAGATAAGTTATGGACAAACTTGTCAAGTTATGGTTCATAACCAGACAAGTTATGGACAATTATGGACAATAACTTGTCAAGTTATGGTTCATAACCAGACAAGTTATGAACGAAAACAGTAATTTAGCCTATTTATTAACTTATGTAAACTATTGGCCTATTAATTTTAATTCATCTCAAATTTTGGTCTATTTCCCTCTTTCTCCCATGTTTTTTCTCGGAGAAAATTATAAAATTTAGGAGTTTAGATTTTTATTCTTTATTTTTTATTAATATCCTTTTATTAGTATATTTATTTAATTAAAAAGGTTATTAATTAAAAATAAAAAGTAGAAATGGTGACTCATGCATTTTTAAAGATATTTATCTCCTTTTTTTTTTTTTTTGGGTTGTCAAGATTCAGAGAAAAAGATCTCACAAGAGAACTCCATGAAACTAGAAATTACACAACATGATTATTGGTGAGTTTTAAAGCGTAGCAGTATTTTTAATTGAGATTTTATATTTTAGTAAACTGAAATATATAACTATATCTTTGTTCAATAAAAAAATGCCATCTCAAATATAGTACCCTATCAAAATACAATTTCTTGCTCTGTCACTGGATAGAGGGATGTTACTTTTATATTGGATGAAGATTTCTATTGTTTCCATTAGAGTTTAACGTCACTTGATATGTTAATTTTTGGCTGGCTAAAACAATTCAACTTTTTTTTAAAAAAAAAAAAAGGAAAATGGACTTACAGACACATGTCAACTTAAGAGAAGTAAGTTTTAAATAAGAATGGAGTTAAATAATATAAAAAATAACATTTTCCATATTGGATACGATACAAAAGCCTTGATCTATGTGTTCTTTTCAAGTTTGTTCATGTGGGGCAAACTAAAAGTTCACACATATCCTCCGATTTGTTGAGAATTGTATCGTCCAAATAATTATTATCCATTTGGTATAAAAGGAAAGAAAGAATGAAGAAACTCTAATCTTCCTTAATACTTTATGAGAAAAATAGATGATTTGTGAGGGTCTTCACAAGCCTATTATTTACGTCATTATTCTTAAATATTCGTATTTTTAATTTTTTCTTTCAACATAATTAAGAGTCATTATGTTCTTTTTATTTTCTCATTATTAATTTTGGTGGAGTGATATAAATAGTTCCATATCTCTTCTGTAAATAAATTCTCATTACTCATCATTTCAGGATGAAATAATTATTTTGTACTTAGTCTCATGTGAAAGTCAGAAATGTATGGCCAACGTTTTAGTTTGGTCAAGCGTAATTTGCGTCTAGCTCATCGAACCAACTACTTTTATATATATATATATATATATATATATATATATATATATCTCTCTCTCTATAGCTGCAACTCCTTGTTTGCTTTTCTCTATAGCATTTACTTTTATATAAATGCTTAGATAATACAAGAGACAATATAGTATGGTTAAAAGTGAGCTTTTGCTTTTGTCTTTAACCATTGTAAAAAGAGAACTGTGACTTAAACTAAGAAGGGTACTTTTCAAATAGTACCAAACATGTTCGGATGACTACATGTGAGTAAACTAAAAAAAAAATAATGATAATAATAAAAATGAAAAAGGAATTTTTCCCACAAAAATCAGTTGAGATTTACCATAATGATCTCTCCAAATATCATTAGTAATGTTTGACAGTGATATTGTGCTTAATAACAGCTCTAAGATTAGCCAAATCCATATACTCAGTCTCCATAACCCCATAGCCTTTGACAAACCTGAAATAACCAGTCCCAGAAACAACCCCAAACTCACGTTCCTTCTTTGCGAACAAATCAGCTCCTTGTATCTCCAAACTGCTTCCTTTGAACTCTCCACCAGTGAAAACCACAGAGAACACCATGTGTAAGCCCTTCCCATCAAGGGCAGAGTTTATGTACATCCCTTGTGCCCTCCCTATCTCCTTCGACTCAACGCCGGGCCCCACAGTCACTTTGTCGTCGACCGCCACGAGGGTGCCGAAGTGGAGGACACTCGAGGTGGGCCCGCTTTTGCCCGCCACGGTGGCTGCCGACGTGTCGCGGCCGGTGAAGTAGTCATGCACGTAGAAGACCAGGTTGGTTTGTTTTGGTTGGAGGTTTGGGATGGTGTAGGCAATGTAAATGAGAGTTATGGCAAAGAGGAAGAAAAAGAAGTTTGAGGTTGGACTCAAAGGATTGGCCATTTTTTTTTTTTCTAGGAAATGGCAAAATATGCTTGGTTTTTTGTTTTTTTTTGGTGGAGTTCTATAGTTGGTTTGAAGATGCCTTGTTGTAGGATCAAAAGGTTCTTTGATGGAAAAGGACGATTAGTTGTTGTTGTTATTACTAATATTATTATTTAAGATAAAAAAAAAAAGGACAATAAGTTGTCGGGAGAAACAAAGTTTGTCCTATTTTTTAATTATTTGTTCAATTAGTTTTTCATGCTTCACAATAATTGTAGTGTTTAGCATTGTTTTATGGGGTTTGTGATAATCGGAATATTAAATTGCGTTACCTTTATCTCTATCTGGGGTTGTATATATATATTTATTTATATACATACCTAATTACCAACTTGGTTTAGGGTGGGATGTGTGATGTAATATGAGCGGACAGAGAAGTTAATCTGGATCTTGTCGTTTAATCATGTATTCAAATGCAAATTATATTATGTCGTTTGTTACTTTATACTCAAGGAACGTTTAGTATGAGGTAATCTTATAGATGGAAATGAAAATATTTTAGATTATCATGTTTAGTACAATTATTAGATTTTTTTAAAATTCAAAAAAGTGAAACTCATGAGCTTAATATTATTATATTTTGGAGTAATCCTAAACTCACAGCGTGTTATTTACTTTCCCACACTTGAGTGTTTCTTTCTTGCATAGTAAATAGAAAAGACATGCCCAAAAAAAAAAAAAAAGACATGCCATTTGGACTGTCCTATGCTTACAATAAAACGACATGTCATTTGATTTATATTACATAACGTTTTCATCCTAGCTGATAAATGCTATGTACATACATTTTTCTAGATAGGCAACGACATGTATTTCCATGAATAAAACGTTTTTTCGTTCGATTTGTGCAGTAAAGACACGTTTCTGTCAACGACAAGGACCAATGGAATATTCTTTGGGATCATTTGAGGGATCTTTAACCTCTAAATTGAATTTTCCTTGGTGCATAAGAACTTGTTAGTTTTAATTTGAATGGAAATAATGTTTTGCATAAATGAAAAAATAATAATAATAATAATTCGGTCAAGAGATGAGCGATATTAGTGGGAGCAATTTAAATTGCTAATGTAACAAAGGAAAGCACCAATTTGAGCTGAATAGAACACTAATTTGCACAACCAAATTGTGTTATGTGTGGCTTCTGTTTGGCCTCTTTACATTGTAATTTGCTTGCGGATCTAAAGTGGCAAGTCTGATATAAAAACGACATCACACTGGAAACGACGTCAACCACACAAAACGAGAAATGCCAGATAGGAAAAAATAAAATAAAAGAAAAGAAAAGGACCAGCACATATAAACGACGTGATCGTAAAACAAGAACAATAAAAAAATAGACATAGAATCGAGAAAACGACAATAACCCAAATGACTGACGGTAAAAAATAATAAACGACATTAAATATAATAGCAGAACAATTATTAATAAAAAAAAGGTCAGTAAACTCGAGAAACGACATCAGTTGAAACTTGGAAGAATTCACGAAATGGGCAATCCCAAACGATATCAGTTCCTGTGTTTATGGGATGATTAAGCGTCCCGGCTAACTATCATAACATCTAACATCACCGGCAGTCGTGATGTAATCTTCTTTTTTTTTTTTTTTTTGGGAAAGTTAATGTAATCTTCTTAGTACTTGTCATTTTTTAATGATTTAGTATGTAATAATGTTACTTGCGGAATTCATCTAAAAATAACAGGACATATGTAACATTGTCAATGACACAATGTATTAATCTCATAGAAAATCTCCTCGCTACCTTAAACAAACAACACCTAAAGAATTATTCTAAATTTTCCTTTAAAAAAAAAAAAAAAAACCTGAAGAATCGCCTATAGATGGTGCTATGTACACTTCCACGTTTAAAATGGGCAGTCATAGTCAATGCAACAAAAAGAATTTTTTTTTTTTCCTAAAATAAAAAACAAAAAGGATATTTTTATTTGCTTTTTTGTCTTACCGTTTCCCTCTAACTACCTCCTATCCTAACGTCCCTTGGATCCCAAACACACAAACATAGGCTCAATTAACACACCCACGAAAAAAAAATAAAAAAAATAAAAACAGAGATATGGTAACCTCCGTTCTCTGTTGTTCTTTCTTCTCTTTCAGAAAAATTTCATGAAAATTCTACTTGATAAATGATTTTATCAATACCCTTTTTGAATTTATGTAAATTCAAAACTATTCAACCCAGAAAATCAATTTCCTAATTCATGTTGTCTTAGAGGGGGAAAAAATAATTATGTCCCCTTCTTTTTATTCCTCTGTTTCAGTTCCTCTTCTGTTTTTCCCCTGTTTTCTCATCATCTTCTTCTTCTCTAACTTTCTCAAATTCCTAAATGGGATTTTTCTCTTTAGATATGAACTCCAACACCCACATTTTATATTCCTTAATTCTCCTATCTCTTTCCTTCGATCCTGTCCTCGTTGTCGCGAAAAACTCTGAATTGAATTCCCAACACTCATATGTCCTGTCCTGCGGCGGATCCATAGAAAGCACCGATACGAATGGCCGGGAATGGGCACCCGATTCGAAGCTCGTACCGCCTTCCGGTGATTCGATACCCGCCACGGCCTTACACCAAGACCCTTCTCTGCCTTCCCAAGTCCCTTACATGACTGCAAGAATTTTCACCTCTGAATCCGCATACAACTTCTCTGCTCTCCCCAACAAACGCCTCTGGATCAGGCTTCATTTCTACCCTTCTTCCTACGGCAACCTCGACCCCACCGATGCCTACTTCTCGGTTACCGCCAACGGCCTATCCCTTCTCAACAACTTCAGCGTCTCCATCGCAGCCGAAGCCCACACGCAGGCATACATGATCAAAGAATACTCTGTTTCCCCTGTTTCGAATGGTGAACTCTGTATCAAATTCAACCCTGTTTCACATCGCAATGGCTCGTATGCTTTCGTCAACGGCATTGAGGTAATCCCGATGCCGGATATCTTTGATCCGGAGAATTTAGTCGATGGTGTTGATATTCGAAGCTCTTCAGTTCAGACCATGTTTAGGCTCAATGTTGGTGGACAGTACATTCCAACGACCAGTGACTCTGGCTTGAGCAGAACATGGTATGACGATTCGCCATATTTGTTCGGAGCAGGCTTCGGAGTGAGTTTGGAAGCCGGAAAGAATCTAACCGTTGATTTTCCTCCCAATGTGCCGGAGTATATTGCTCCGCGGAGTGTGTACAGAACGGCTAGAACAATGGGAAAGGGCTCAAGCATCAACCGGAAATATAACCTCACTTGGGTTTTCAAGGTTGATGCTAACTTCACATACATTGTTAGGCTCCATTTCTGTGAGCTTCAATTCAGCAAGGTCAATGAGAGAGTGTTTGACATTTTTCTCAACAATAGAACAGCTCAACAATCTGCGGATGTGATCGCATGGGCGGGGTCAGCAGGAGTGCCGATGTACAAGGATTTCGCCACTTATGTAGGCGATGTCAATGGTGATGATGAGTTATGGGTGGCGATGCACCCATCTACCTTGACAAAACCTGAATATTTCGATGCAATCCTCAATGGATTGGAGATTTTCAAGGTGAATGACACAAGAGGGAACTTGGCAGGCCTTAATCCTGTGCCATCAAAGATGCGCCTCAACGATGAGGCAGAGGCAGAGGAGGCTGCAGCCATGCCTTCTTCGCTATCTGGGCTTGGTTATGATGCTGTTCGAGGGATTGCAGGTGGTGTGGCGGGTTTTGTTGTGGTGGCGGGTGTGTGCATTGTTGTTCTTTACCAAAACAAGAGGAAAGAAAAGGGCAATGTAGACGTTTTTGGGCCTGCGAATTGGTTGCCAACCTATGGCAGCTCCTGCACATCAACTGTGTCTGGTAGAAGCACTAGTAGAGACAGCAGCCACCTCTCGAATATCGCGAGTCTTTGCAGGCATTTTTCGCTCCCCGAGATTAGGCATGGCTGCAACAACTTTGATGAGTCACAGGTTGTTGGGGTTGGAGGATTTGGCAAGGTCTATAGAGGGACTATTGATGGAGTTATCAGAGTTGCTATAAAGAGATCAAACCCTTCTTCAGAACAGGGTGTTCATGAATTCCAAACCGAAATCGAGTTGCTTTCTAAGCTTAGGCACAAGCATTTAGTCTCCTTAATTGGGTGTTGTGTGGAAGGTGGTGAAATGATACTTGTCTATGATTACATGGCTAATGGAACACTAAGAGAACACCTTTACAAGAGCACAAAACCTCCATTGTCATGGCAAAAAAGATTGGAAATATGCATTGGAGCTGCAAGAGGATTGCACTATCTTCACACTGGTGTGAACTACACCATAATTCATAGAGATGTGAAGACCACAAACATTTTGTTGGATGAGAATTGGGAAGCAAAGGTTTCCGATTTCGGGCTATCAAAACAAGGTCCTAGTGGTCTTAATCAAGGTCATGTTAGTACATTGGTGAAAGGCAGCTTTGGTTACTTGGACCCTGAATATTTTCGCAGGCAAAAGTTGACCGAAAAATCGGATGTTTACTCTTTTGGGGTTGTTCTATTTGAGGTGTTGTGTGCAAGGCCAGCTCTTGAAGCCACTTCGCCGAAGGAACAAGTGAATCTTGCAGATTGGGTTTTGTATTGCCAAAAGAAGGGAATTCTTGAGGAAATTATTGACCCCCATCTTAAGGGGATGATTAGTCCCGAGTGTTTGAAGAAGTTCGCAGAGACAGCGGAGAAGTGTTTGTCTGATCATGGAGTTGATCGTCCTTCAATGGGTGATGTCCTTTGGAACCTTGAGTATGCACTTCAATTGCATGACAACCCTGAAGCAGCAAGAGTTTATGAAGAAGAAAGGAAGGTGAATAATGACCCTTCTATGCACTATACCACAATACGAATTGAGGAGATAAGAGAGGCTAGTGAGGAAACTGATGTCTTAAACACCACTGCAGTTTTTTCACAGCTAGTGAATCCAAGAGGAAGATAAGGGAAAATTTACTTTATCAGTTTTGTTAGTACTTTTTTCTTGTGTTGCTAGGAACTTTTGTTTAGTTGATTGGGAATTATACCACTTTCTGTCAATTCTTCTCTTTGGAAAAAAAAAAAAAAAAAAAAAAACGACAAGGGAAAAAAAATACTACATGGAAACTCTTGCATATATTTCTTCTTATTTATTTTTAGCAGAATTTTTTTACTGTAGAACTTTGATGGCAGAAAAAGGTAAGGAAGAACCTTTTAGCTTGTGGTGTAAGTTCCAACTTCCGAGGCTTTTTATTTACCATGATTCACTATTCTCTATAAGATGCTATTATACTAAATAAAGCAAAAATAACAACACAAGACATAGAACAAAAGTCATTTGCCTTTCCAGTTTAAGTATACTATTAGCATATAAAGGAAGACCAACAAAAGAACCAAAAACCTTGTCAAGATACCCAATAATTAAACTTCCTTCTCATACATTTGCATGCTCATAAACATGACAATTCAAATCAATCCTTTGTGGAATCATAACTAGTATAAAGAGAAAACATATTCAAAAGCCCCCCATTTTTTCTTTTTTACAAAGTGAACTTTTCTTCTCAAACCCACCTCAAAGTAAAGTGATGTGGATCACTATCCACTACACGGTTCAACTATGCAATTGAAGGAGAGGATTGAGAGGGAGAGAGAAATAGAAATACGCATATTGAAGACAATGCAGCTTTTGCTTTCCATGTTTTGTCATTTTTTCTTCATCCAAATCTGGTGCTGCTGACAATCTGGTTTAACCATTCTTCCATTGCAAAATGACCCGACATTTTAACAGAAGACAAAAAGGGAAAAAAAAAAAAATCAAACTCTAACAGCTTTACAAAGGAGGCAAGAAAAAGCCCACCAGAGAACATATTTGACCCGAGAATTCTATGTCCCAAGAACATCAAACTCACAACACGACCTTTTGGGGAATGGTAAGATTAAACTTGACTACTTGAAATGTCAAAAAAAAAAAAAAGACAAAGCAAATGATAGTAAAAGAAAACATGGAAAGAAGAAGTGGACTAATAAATGGACTAAACACAATAATGGCTCCCAAACCTTGTGGAGACTTTTTTTTTTTTTTTTTTGGATTTGATGCTTTGTGGGGTCAGCAAAACTTGGCATACCTTAAAGAAAGAGGGTACATGAAGGAGTTAGAGTAAGTGAATCTGATAATCTGGCTACTCCTCAAAGGCTTTCCTCCATTAACCAAGCAATCATCATAAGATAACCTCTTGAAGGTCATTGGGCTTATTATTCTTGTTGAAGCAAACCAACCACAATAGAGATGAATATTTGAAGGAGCACATCCAAAAACACAAGTGTTGACAATCTGAACTATGTACTCAGGAATCCCAGATGTTGAATCTCTGCTTTGTGATATGCTTATATCTCTACTAGTACAACTTCCTAATCAAGAAAAAAAAAACATGGCTAGAACTTAAAAAGTATCATAAACAAGCAAAGAAAAAGATATTGTAATGTGTTTTACCATGTGCCAAAAGCTTTCTATGGCTAGTGTTAGGCTGCTCTAATTCCATTGTTGATGAGTTGTTGCTATCACCATGGAAAGAATGCAAAGCAGTTTGTGAAGGGCCTAAAAAGAAGACAAGAAAGTTGTGTTAAAAAGGATCTAGATGTAGAAGGAAACAAACATAGGGGAAAAAAGTTAAAAGTGAAGAAAAAGCTCAAGAAAGAAAGGAACTATCTAAAAAAGCAGGTGAAAATTGTTTGTACTACCAGGATGTATAACATGATTGGAGAGTGTAATCATCAGCACCATCAAGTAGAGAAAGCCTAGATGATAGTAGCTCATGATTGATGATGTTTTTATGTTTTTTTTTCCCTTTCCAATCTTTGCTTGGTTTGAAACCAACAAAAACTAGAAAAACATGAAGGACAAATGTAAAATGAACTAGATTGGAGAGGAATATGGAATGTGCAGGAGATTTTTTGTGGGGTTGGTGAATGGTGAATCCTCCACAACTGATGATTCTTTTATACAAGAATGGTTAATAATGTCCCCATAAAAAGACCAAGTACTACAACAAACAAGGCAGTTCAAATACATGAGACTTGCTTTTTTATTATTTTATTTATTCTGTTTCACCGTATGTATTCTTATCAAGATCAAAGATAATACAAAAAAGAAAGGCACCACAGGCATTTATTGCCCAATGTCAAAAAAGTTCTTTTCATGACTGTACACTTACTTAAGGGTAACTCCGTTGTTCAATTCCAATACTTTTCTCTTGCCCCACAAACAAAGTTATTTTTTTAAAAAAGGTCATAGGTGTTTTCTCAAGTCTAATAGTTTTTCTCCTTTTCTTTTCTTTCCAAATACATAATATGCTAGCAATGAGATAGAAATTGCAGCTTAAGTGGGGAGTTCTTTATACTTCAAATACCGTTTTACTCAAAAAAAAAAAAAGTGATGTTCTTGTATATAACATAGATATTACATAGGAGAAACTACACACATATTATAGTCCTTATAATACACGCACGCGCGGTTATATCATATATGCCCTTTTGTTGTATTGTTGGAAGTGAAACATCATGATGGTCAAAAAAGCAAATCTTCTTTTCTCCATTGCACACGCTCAACTGGTCAACTTCAGCTTATCTCTCTCTCTCTCTCTCTCTCTCTCTCTTCATTTCCGGCTTCTCTAGATAGACAGAAGAAACCTGCAGCATCATGAAAGAGAACAAAGTTCTATGGCTTCTTTTCTTCTGAGCTGCAATAAGAAGGGTTCAGAGGAACATGAAAACACTCCCAATGGTCAGAACCTACCCTTTAAAAGCAGCAACTCGTACAAGTACTACTCCTAGTCCTAGCTAGCAACCTATCTTTGAAAAAATAAAGGAAACTAGAAACCTTCTATTTTTGCCTAAGCCTATTAGTATAGATCATATAGATGTGTTTCCAAATTCATAAAAGTGAAAAACGCCCTCAAAGTGAAACATAACTCCTCAATTACCTCTCTACATGCATGGCACATACTTGCATGTATCCATGCTCTTATTCACGTAATATGTGTTCACTGTTTAAACTAAATTAAACAGAGTTAAATCAGTAAAATAAATAGAGATTAAGTTAATTGTATCCACTGATTTTTAAAAAGTAACAATTTAGGTCTCATTGACTTTGCAAATTCAAGTTTTTAATTCGAGTTGAGATGTCACATTTTTTGAGAGTTTTTTATTGTAGCAGAAAAAGTTAAATGTGACATTTTCTAAGAGCTTTTAACAGTAAAAACTTAGGCCTCGTTCATTTCACCGATTCGAGTTTTCAGTTTTAGGTTTTTACAGTAAAAAGCTCTCAGATGTCACATTAAAATTTTCTGCTACAGTGAAAAGCTCTCAGAAAATGTCACATCTCAGCTCGAATTAAAAACTCGAATCCGCGAAGTGAACGAGGCCTTAGAATTGAAAACTCGAATCAGTGAAATGAACGATGCCTTAATTCTTAATTTTTTTGGCTAATTAATTCTTGACTTTGATTTTTCTTTTCTTTTTTTAGGTTCATTTCATGAATCTAAAATTGATAATAAATTTCTTTGATTTTAGGTAGGAGTTGTTTTAAGTGTAATGAAAATTTTTAATTATCATATTATGAATGTGCGACTGCCTCAATTAAATTTTAAAGATATAAACTATAGCATGAAATTCTAATAAGATAACCAATTCTTTTATTTAGATTAAAGAGTTGTTTTAAGTGTAGCGAAAATTTTTAATTATCATGTTATGAATGTGCGATTGCCTCGATTAAATTTTAAAGATATAAATTATATCACGAAATTCCAATAAGATAACAAATTCTTTTATTTAGATTGAAGTTTAGTAACTGAGGCCCTTCTTGGGGTGCATGTTTCGTACGTGCTAAAACATTATCACACGTGTGACAGTACTGAAAGTTTGAAACTACTATTAGTTTTGGTAGATAAAATGGAACATTTCTGCTACATTACTGCTTCACTCACTTATTATTGTTTCTTATGCCACTAGTGACTTAGAAGTACATGGAAAGAGCATCAAAAGCAGAAGTACACAAGATTAGAGGACCCAAAAAAAATTTTAAAAAAATCTGAAGTACACAAAATACAAAAGACTAAACCCACACAAAGAAGGCCCCATCAGCAGTACAAGCAGCTTTAACCAACCGAGCGAGTCACCTCCAAATTAAGACCAACAAAACCAAAAATAACCACAAAAAAAAAAAAGAGTCGTGTACTCGAATAATTTTTAAAAGACATGTTACAATTACGTAACATGTGAATTTTTTTATATGAATTGCAAATATACCATGTCCTTTATAGTGTGATTGATTCGAATCCAAGACATTACTAGAAAGAAAGATCAGGTGTTAATGAAATTAATTGTTATCATTACATGTTATTGTTAATCACAAGTCGTTTTGCTTAGCCCGTTTAGTTGGAGGATTCGTTCTCTAATTCGAATCATGGTTCATGATTTGCTACAATATTTTCTCTCACAAAAAATATACGTAAATCGAAAATAATTCTAATCCATCAACTAAACGGACTCAATTCTTTACAAAAATGGATCATGTATTGACTTTCTGGTAGCTTTCTAATTCTTCCCAACTTCTCAACATATATGGTCTTCACTTTCTACTTTGCTTGCCTGTTGTTTCAACTTGACATTTGTGATTCTGAAAATGGATCGGTTTACATTTGATAGAATGTATTCTGATCTCCCAACTCTCTCCAAGCTAATTAATTAATAAAATGGTTGCAACATATTGCATTCAATGCTATGCAATTTTATAGCAATCTAAAGGGGTTTTCTTGGGGAATGAGCTAGTCACACTTATCCCTGCAGTTTGTGTCAATTCACAGAGAGCCATGTGATGGAGTTTTATGTCTTTGCAGACACAATATTGGAATTAATTAATTAATTAATTGCTCAACAACGAGAATGATTTTTTTATTTTTTTATTTTTTATAATAACAAGAATGAATGTCCCAACTGATCGACAATAGATCATGTCTTGTGCAATTCAATTTATATCCTTACTATCATGATTTATTGTTGAATGAAGAACCAAGCCAAACTTATATATACTATAACTTATGTCTCTCAAGAAGAAATTCATTTTTGAAGCAAATAGTTAAGTATGAGGAAAGGGACCTAATAGTAATAGCTGAGATCGCTTACAAGCTGATATTTAATTTGATGAGGGAAGCCTTCAAATTGTAGTCTTCCTAATATACTACTATGTTCACCTTTTTACCTTTAAAAATATTTCAAAGGCAACTCACGTGTAGCAAACCCCACACGAATTTCATTCAGTCTCGTTTGGTTTGAAAATTGAAATTAGTGCGGTTTAAATCATATTAATTTTAAAAGTGTGGTTGAATTCTTGAGGTTTAAACCATGAGAATTTAGAGGGAGGTTGGTTTAAAAATCCTTTATTTTTTATGGTCTAAATGTCACATAAGATTCACACCAATTTTTATTCTTTTAAACAAACACTAAGTTAAACCAAAACTTTAGGTTCAAGCCACTTAAACTCTCAAACTCTGTAAACGACTAATGTTGAGCAGCACTATTGCTCTTTTCTATTTTATTTTTTATTCAAGTGGTACATACTTGAATGGTACATATAGATATAAGTTCAAAGGGTTTAAGGGTAATTAATCAAAAAGAAAAAAAAAAAAAAAAAAAAAAAAAAAGCCAAAGAGCTCATCGTTATGAAATGTCTGTAATATATCCCTTCATGTGTATAATACATATAAAAATGCATACTCAGAGACACAAATAATAAAAGACGAATGCTATCTATAAAATACACACATATGCTTTTAGCATTGTTCAATATCTTACTATGAAGGGCTACCAATAAAGGGTACCTCACAAACTAATCAAACAATAGTAGAATGATTAGATAGTTAAGCTTTATTTCCTGCAAAGAAGAAGTGACTCGTGAAAAGGGATAGAAAATGTCTTGCCAAAAAGTGTCCCAACGTGCCACGTGGCAGAAGATCACCAAAAAGACCAGTCAAAACTAATTCCACTTCCTTCCTAAGAATCTTTGGCATCTGCTGATGCTGTGGCCTGTACTTAATGGATGGTGCGCATGCATGTAACAGCACTGCATCTCAATAGTACGATTTCCCGACCAACTTTCTACGTTTGACATGACAAATTGTCTACTGCTATATATACACATATACATACATACTTATATAAATACAAGGCATTTTACTTAAATGCCCTTTGCATGGAGGGAGGTGAATGCCCTGTGTGAGGGTTGGTTTGGTCTAGTAAAAAAAGCAGTGGAAGTGGGAGTTTTTTTATTAATGAGGTCAATTGTGGAGGGAATAGCACTGAAAAGTTGTAAGTGAGTAGTATTTGTTTTGTCCGTAATTAGTAAAAGGGAAATTACCCGCTTTGCATTCATTGGCGGCGGCTTTGTGGTCGCAGCTCTATGGACAAAAGCTTTCAACATCATGTTATGTCAAATTAAGTGGTATTAATTTTACTTGAAACCGAGAGAGAGAGAGAGAGAGAGAGAGAGAGAGAGAGAGAGAGGGATAAAAAGAGATGTCCTTTGGCAGTTTGCAGTTAAATCTGAGACTGTTATTAGTTATTGTAAGTCCTACTTCTGAATTTTTTAAAGAAAAAATTTCATGATAGTTCATTCATTTTACTTATTTAAATTAAAAATTTAAGTTAAAAAATAAATTTACAGATAAAAAATACAAATTAAGAAAATTAATTTTAAATTTTTATTAAAAAAAATACTGTAATAAAAATTTAAATTATAATTTAAACTATAATTTTTATTTTTAAAAAAAAGGTGGAAAGTTAAAGAGAATACCAACAGAACCATATTTTATACCAATTGATATGCATGTATTTGGTCCATTATGCCAATTCACCTGGTTGTATGCGACTGTTTTACCTTTTCTGATAAACTTGCTAAGTTGAATTTTGATTCTTAAACTTGCTAACCATTTTAAATCTTCCATGTAACTATAAGAATAAGATAATCTGTCAAGTATTACTATGGCAAATCAGTTGACAATTGAAAGGCTAGCCAAGGAAAAATTTAGCCCAAAGGTTTAAGTTACATTAAAAAAGAAGTGAAAAAAAAGTGTCAATTAACTAATTTCAGAGTTAAAATGGTAATCGTACAATAGTCAAGGCCCTCAAATATCACTAATGGATTACTGAATTGGTGTTCCATTGGCATAACTCTGCTCTCCTCCATTGCTGTAAATGCTCTACAGATTGATGAAGAAAACATTTTGAAGAATTTCAATCGTCAAGATATAATTGACGAGCTCTTGGGAGTTGAGGTTCAATGAGGAATTGTCATAAAAACAATATACAGGAATCACATACTTTGAGAATTTTTCTCCATGTGACCACTCAAGATTTTCTTCATTTGACACCAATGGGGTTATTCACTAGGAAAAGACCTTAGAAAATTTACCTCTTGATTTCTTTGGTGAATAAGTTCTTGTTGTTTCCAAAAGAAAATCCAGCTTTCTCGGGTCCAAAGACAATTTTTCAGAAACAAAAGCATCCAAATCAAAACCACTCTCGCCTTCCTTGTCAGTGCCATTAGAGGAAGAGCCAACTGATTCTTCCTCTTCAATGCGATCATCATCAATCGCAGCCATTCTTCTCAAGGAATCCTGCGAGGAGTTTTGGTCCAACTTCAAAAGTCTCTTTACGCTGTCAATTGCCGGGTCTATGATGTCTAAAAATCCCATAGCCCATGAAGCGTCATCCACAACTTCTGTACGCTGTAGCAACCAAAAACAACGATTTTAAATTTAAGTTATTATGCAGATAATATAATGAACCAAGACGAAAACTTAGTTCGGCGTTGTTGCGATTTTAAAGGAAGTGCTACTTTTAATCTTGCACTTCAAAACAACTAAAAGTGCATTGGTGTCTATACAAAATATGCACTTTTACGAAATTGCACTACTCGTGCAAAGAGAACTTTCGCCTTAATTACAACTAAGGAATTCTTGACAAAAAGCTATGGTAGTTATCCATAGTTGCTAACCTGCTGAAAGTAGAGGTTACGAATTTCCTCGGCACGTATGGCATTTCCTTGGTCCTCCTCTAATGATGCCCACGTCATCCATGTGATGTAACTCTGGGAATTTAGATTTAGTGAGGATCTAAATAATCTGCGAGCCGCTGATAAGTTGCCAATTCTCTGTTCTAGAACTCCCCAAGCCTGCAATGAGAAGTAATTGGCATGAAAGCATAGGTTCAATAGATCTATTACTATATCCTCCGTGTTTTTTTGATGAGATTTGAACTACTCCCTTTGACAGGACAAGCGGTTATTACCTGCAGGCATCGTGCCGCAGTTTCGCTAGTTGAGTCGATGGATAATGTTTTTTGGTATAATTCCCTTGCTTTAGCTATATTTCCTTCTTTCCATTCCATCCATCCCCAAGCCTAAACGTAAACAAGCCATGTAAAATGATTGTTGTGCTTTTGTATGAGTAACTTGAGGTTCTTAGAAGCAATATGTTTAATTAATAATGCCTTAAAAAATACGAGCTTCTTACCGTCCACACTGGTTGGTGATTTGGGTCCAATTCGGATGCTCTTCTGAACAACACTCGAGCAAGGTTTGCAGTTGAGTGTTTGTATTCCAGTAAAGCGAGAGACTGAAGTAAAACAGGATCTCTCGGATTAAGTACATGACCTATCTTTAGAAGCTTCTTTCCCTTGTCAACATTTCCAACATTGGCTTCAAAAACTCCCCAAACATGCCATGCAAACCTGTTCTTGGGGCTTGCTTGTATAGCTTTCTATAATCAAGGAAAAAACAAATTATTCGATTTCTAAGATGTTGATATTATTCACTGTTTAGCAATATTACACAACACCAAAGGTAAAAAGGATCAAAACGAAACAATACAATTTAGTAAGTGAAGAATCCTAATAAAAAATCAACTGCCAACGTGATCCTTCCTTGTGCAGTTTTTAGGAAATGATTAATCACCTCAAAGAGTCGTCTGGCAGCGCAGTTATTTTCTTGTTGCATCTCCATTTGTGCCCACGCCTGCATCGAAGAATTTGAAAATACATTAACTTTTTCACTCATAATCATAAGGTTTACTTTGTCACATGAAGAACATATATCCAGGAAACACAAGAAGAGTTACCAGCCAACTGGCACAGCTTCTGGGATTAGATTTGGTGGCCTGCCTGAACAAAGACCGAGCCTGCTCAACGCGGTTTGCTTTGGCTTCAAGCAAAGCAAGCGTTTGATAGACGAACTCGTTCCCTCCGCAAAATTTGAGAGCTTTAGCAAGAAGATTCCTTGCCTTCCTGATATTACCCTGCTTCAGCTCAAGAACTGCCCAGCCATGCCAGGCAGCAATGTGTCTCTTGTCGGCAACCGTGGCCGCATCAAATAGTTCTCTTGCTCTCCTTATATTTCCCAACTTCTTCTCCAACACAGCCCAACACTGTTTTATTTACTTCATGTCACCATCAAAATTGAAGCAGATAGGAGAGAGATATAGGGATTAAATTGCAAAATTAAAAATATGTTTTTAAGACTAACCTGCCAGACATAAGGATTCTCTCCCTGAGTAGCTTGGCAGCCTTTCTCATACACAGCCCGAGCTTCAGAATTCTTGGATTGTTTGTTTAGAGTTTTACCCAACAGCACATAAGCTCGCCCATCTTCTGGCCAGTAGCTTATACACTATTTTTCCAAACAAAATCTTCATCAACTTCCTAAGCATATTATATTTATATATATATTCTTTTTTTTTTTTTTTGAAAGGTTCTTCTGAGTTTTTCTATGAATTCTCAAAAGAGTAGCACTTATTTCTAACTGGTAATGGGAGTTACATTATAGGAAATTCTGTGACTAATTCAGGGACTAAATTACAAAAAAAAAAAAAAAAAGGAAAATTTCGGAGACAAGAATTCTAAACTACAAAAAGTTCAAGGGGGTTACAAATACCAAAACTAAAGATTATTTCGTCCCAAAATTGGCCCCTCTTAACAAATGGAGCTAAGTGCTACTATTTTGTGGTTCAAGGACTAAACTGCAAAGAAAAAATTTAAGCAACACAAAACAACAAATTATATGAATGTAAGAACACATATGCAAGAAAATTATAATACTACACTATCCTAAATCTATTTTAGCCCCATTAACAGCTGGACTTAATTACCAATCTTCTGTGAGTTTATGACTAAATTATGAAGAAAAAATTTCAGACAAAAGTATGAAATTACAAAAAGCTCAAGGACTAGAGTGCTTAAAACCCATATTAAAGTCACCATTAATAGTAATTCACAGTGTAATTAAGCAAAGCAGCAAAAATAATAAACCTTCTGAAGAATCTCCTCAGCTTCTTCAAAGCGAAAATTCCTGGCCAGAACCTTCGCCTTGTACAATGCCAAGTCCAAGTTCACCGCCAATGGCTTCTCCTGCGATCCCACCACCCTCTCCCCGGGCTCGAAGATCCGCATCTTCTTCGCGAACTCCGCAAGTCCGGCGTCAATCGCCGCCGCCGATTTCGATCCGCCTTCGTCGCCCTCATCTCCGGCAGAGACGTCCATAAGGGGCCGGCGGACCACCGGGAGCTTCTCCGCCGGCGAGGTGGAACCTCTCCTAGGCACGACATCGCGCCTGGGCGATGCGACGCCGTTTGAGGAAACGGCGGCAGCGGCGTAGGGAAGCACGGCGGCAGCGGCGGAGGAGGAGGATGAGTCGCGGGAAGAGCAGCGGGGAGTGGAGAGAGAAGTTTGGAAGTTGTTCAGGTTGGTGGTGATGGAGTTCTGAGAGGAGAAGAAGAGGATGAAGCTAGAGTTAGGGTTTGCAGAAGGAGAATGAGAAGAAGAAGACGGCGAAGGAAGAAGGTAAAGCCTCTGCATTTTTTTTTTTTTTTTTGGATTAAAGTTTGGAGCTTTACGCTGTGAGAAAATTGTGAGGCGGGTAGACGAAGAAGAAAAGACTGTTGTTTGACTGTTTTAACCTTCATACTAAACTCAATGACTTGCAAATATATATATACTACTGTATAAAAGGAGAAAAAAAAAAACATTTTCTTTTTGCTTGTTAAGAAGAAGAAGATTCGCAAATACAAGCTTTTTTTTTTTTTTTTTTCTTTTTTCAATAAGGAGGAAAAGAGCATAATTAGCATATATTTTAAAAATAAGAAATTATAGAATAATTTGATGTTTTAAGTTTTAAATATTATTAAAAACTCAAAAATACTCTTAAATTTTTTTTCCTACCTCACTTTCCCTTCTAAACATCTATTTTTAGTAAATAGTAAATTATAGCATATTTTTTAAAATAGGTATATTATAGTCAAGTCCACCATGACCAGGACCGACGGCAGGCAGCCGGCTCCGGCAATTAGTTATGACAACCTGCAACCATTTTCTAACGACGGTGACTGTTTTTCAACGACCGTTCAGTAAATACCATATTTACCATTTAATAACGTATTTACTAGTAAATACCATATTTATCCGAAAAGTCAACCACCGACTCTGGTGACTATTTAACGTTGTATTTACATGTTTATACCGTATTTAACAATAAATATTGTATTTACTAGTAAATATCATATTTACCCAAAAATTCAGCCACCGACTATGGTGACCGTTTAACACTGTATTTACCGATTGATACCGTATTTACTAGTAAATATCAGATTTATCTGAAAATTCAGACACTGAATCCAGCGATCGTTTCACACTGTATTTACTAGTAAATATCGTATTTACCAGTAAATCTGTAATTACTATTAAAATATCATATTTATCTAAAAATCTTGCCACCAATTCCAGCGACCGTTTAACACTGTATTTACTGGTAAATATCGTATTTACTAGTAAATATCATATTTATCTGAAAATTTGTCACTCACTTCGGCGATCGTTTAACATTGTATTACCCAGTAAATATCGTATTAACTAATAATTCAACTATCGACGACCGAGTACCAACAACCAGTAAATATGATATTTACCCTTATTTACTCAAAAATCTAGAAATCTGGAAATTAGTGGCACCAGAAACCAAATCACAACATAGAATCAACCAAAATCTTGGATTATCACAAACTCATAACAAATCAAATCTAAAAACCAAAAATCATAATGAATCAGATCTAAAAATCACTAAATACCACAATTACACTTATTTTCTGAAAACATTCCATAAATCATTATCAAACCAAGAATGTCTCTTGGTTCCCATCGTTGCCATGCCAGCCTATAGAAATAACCTGTACAAAGCACATAAATCGACAAGCTCAGAGACAAAAAACATAAATCATTGGTCAGGATCTACTCCATGGAACCGATGCTGGCTAGACTGGTTTGCAACACATTTGGAGGCGCGAGATCCCTCGATGGGAGGTCACAACGGCCTATTAACGGAATCTTGTTCGCGAGCACCAAAATTGAGGTGACAACCACTCTCGTTGCTGGAGTCCGCCGTTTGTGAGAACATAATCTCCATTAGATTAGCGTTGCAACGCCAGTGGGAAAGAATCGACAGACGGATAGGAGAGAAGTAAAGAAATCGCGATCTCACTTTGAGATCTCTGATTTTTTACCACAAATCGGCGATGACGACAATAAGGGAAGAGAGAACCGAATAAATCACGATCTCAGATCTTTGGCGACAACGGCGGCGAGTTATCCTCGAAGAAAGAAAAAGAGACGGAGAGAGAGATGTCTGGAGGTGGGAGAGAGAGGTCGTGGATTAAAAGAGAGATTGGGAGAGAGAGAAGCATCTGATGGAAAACCATAAATCAAAAATTAAAATATGCTATAATTTATCAAGTTTTAAAAATATATGCTATTTACTTCAAAACTATATTCAGAAAATGCTATTTAGTGCATTTACCTTTTTTTTAGAAACAAGTAAGTTTCTCTTATTGGTTGTTTATTATTGTTTAAGTTGTCAATTACTAAAGATCTTGATTGTTATATGGATATTTTTACTTGGGAGTGAAAGGAATTTTAAGATATTAATGAGATTTTTCTTTGATATGAATTGAGTACCAAATACCAATATTGGAGCAACTATCTCATGCTCATGGTTTGCATAAATTTAAACTAATAAAAATAAACGTAAAAGATTTTAAAAGAAAAAGAAAGAAAATATTAATATTATGAATCCCCACAATATGTTACTATTTTTGAAATGGAAGCTCTTGAAAATTGAGTTAATAAGAATAAAACAAAAATTAAAAGGATATTTTTTGAAGGATTAATTGTGTAATGAAGAACAAATTTAAAGAGAAAGAATACATTTAAAGAAAAAATAAAAATGAGCAAAAGAAGAAAAAGAAAATTGTAAAGGTTATGCTTCTTTATTTGGAAGGATATTTTGGTCATTTGAAAGAAACTGTTAATAGATTATTCAAACACTAACGG